TTGTATTTTTTATATTTGGTATGTGTGCTGTATGGGGGTTGTTTTTGGAATGTATTGGGGTTTTTTGTAGAGCGGACAAGATTTAATGCAAAGGGTTTTTCGACAGGTGTGTAATAAATAAATTCGCATAAATATCATATAAATAATTTTTAAAGCTTTAAACTAATACATATTGATTAGATGGATAAAGGTATTATTTAAAAAAAGAATTTTAATCTAAGTTTAATAGGGAAAATGAGAACATATATGCTAATTATTATTGCCAAATCTAACATACTTTTAAGTCAACAATAACATAATATAGTATGTTAGAGTTGTTAACCCAAAAAATAACTGCACGGTCCCGGGCTCGGAATTATTCGACTGAAGGTATCTGAGACTATAGAGTAGTCGTACCAAGAAAATATCTTAAAGCTTAGGTATATATAATTGCGATGTAGAGTAGTGACGTAGAAATGTAGTAGGAGAATATGTTCTTAAGCAAGTTCGGTCGTTTTACCAAAGATCATATCAGAGGTGAAAGTAGTTAATTAATAGAATTTTTTACGGCATCCACTATGGATGAATTTTTAATATTTGTATTTGATAAAAGAATTTTTCTAAGGTTCAGTGAAAGATGAATTTATGTGACTGTTTGTGGAGAAAGTTTGGTAAAATTGAGTGAGAGATCTAAATGAGATGTATTTAAGAGGAAGAGGTGAATAAGGCATTGTGTGGTTATGTTAATGGTGGTATAAGGAGTAGTAAAGAGTTGATATAAGTTGTGAAGCGTTGAGTGTGGAATGGATGAAATTGTGAAGTTATTATATTAGGATTGAAGGAAAATAAATTGTAGATAATTATTTAGAGCAAGGCGCAAAGATTATGGAGGGAGATAAGTGTGTAAAGGATTTATAACCTACATCGAGGATTGCACCAGATGGTTACTCTCGATAATGTCAGTATAATACCCAGTAACACTGTGAGGAATCTTGGAGTCATTTTTGACCAAGAACTCTCCTTCAAGGCTTATATAAGCCAAGCAACTAAAACGGCGTACTTCCACTTACGGAACATCGCTAAAATTAGGAATTTCCTTCCTAAAAGTGACGCGGAAAAACTCATTCACGCGTTTGTCACCTCAAGGCTCGACTACTGTAACGCTTTACTGGCAGCGTGCCCTAAAGCCTCTTTGAAGAGCTTCCAGCTCGTTCAGAATACAGCAGCTAGGATCTTAACAGGTACCAAAAGGAGGGAGCACATAACTCCGGTGTTAAAATCACTCCACTGGCTCCCTGTGGAGTACAGAATAAAGTTTAAAATCCTTCTCTTAACATATAAAGCCATAAATGGCTTGGCTCCTTCTTATCTCCAAGACACGTTAGTGTCGTATCAACCAAGTCGAGCGTTGCGCTCACAAAACGCCAGACGTCTGGTGGTCCCTAAGGTCTCAAAGGTCACTGTTGGTGGCAGAGCATTTAGCTCCAAGCTCCTTTACTGTGGAATCAGCTTCATTTATGTTAAAGGTATATAGGAGGATTTTCCCAATTTTTAGGAAAGTACCGCCTTCTCCACTTTTTGAACCAAACTCTCTGGTCTTATTGGACGACGCCGTATCAGCAGAATGATTGACAGTTGGGAGGACCAATAGTCTTGACGATCCACCCGGAAGTAGAAAATCCTCCTATATACCTTTAAGGAAGCAGATACGGTCTCCACATTCAAGGCCAGGCTTAAAGCACTTTACTTTAATTTAGCATATAATTAGGTAATATATAATATGTAGTGTATATATTATATATATATATGCTGTATTATGTTATATATTATGTTATATATTATTCAATAATGTATTGTGTTATGTTGTATATTATGTTATATATTATGCTGTATGTTATTCTTTATTCAAGGCTAGGTTTAAAACAGTCCTCTTTAGTTTAGCATATGGCTAGGAAGGTAAGACTCGGAGAAGGTTAAACTCCTCAGAGTGTTAGTCAAGCTGCATAGGGAGTCAGTTTGCTGGGAGAAGTATGGTAACTTGAGCACTATCCTCTCCTCCTTCCTACTTTATCTGTTTATCATTTTTAGGATTCTGACTGTAGTTTGTTCATTGCTATTCACCCGTTGTCCCATTGTCTGTTTCATGGTACGATGACGGGATCTCTGAGCCTGGCCTCCTCCATCTACACCTGCGGACTGCCCCGCCCGACCCGCCTGGGAGTGCTTCGGTCCTGCACCGGACCTGTCCACGTTCAGCGTCCACTGGTCCACGTTCTGTAGCTAGCTTAGGTCCTGGATCATTAGTCTGTCCGTCCGGAGGAGCGGATCCCTTTCTCATATGGGTCTCCCTCCCTGTGGGTTTCCCTAGTTCTCCTCCAAGGTTTCTCACTTTTTCCCACTGGGTTTTTTAAGAGTTGTTCCTTGTGGATGCAGGAGGGTCTTGTTGGACAGTTAGTGTCCAACAGAAAGGATTGGTGATGATCAGGACACTTTAGCATTCTACAACATGTATGGACATTTTCTTCTGTGTGTGCTTTATATTCTTCATGTGTTTTAACTGTTGATTCTCTGACCTGTGTTGGTGATTTCAATGGTTTTGTTAAGTCTCTGAGATGACTTCTGTTGTGACCTAGGGCTATACAAGAATACATTGTATTGTATTGTATTGTTGTTGTTGTTGTTGTGCTGCACCATAAGGAGCCACATGCCAGACCTAAGTGGTAGGAGAAACCAGAGCACCCAGAGGAAACCTGCACAGACACAGGGAGAACATGCAAACTCTACACAGAAAGCTCTGGAGGTGGAATCGAACCCAGAACCCTCTCGCTGTCGTGCAGCTCAGGGTACATTAACACCACTGCCTCTGCATGTACAGTACCTGTTCTCCTCCTGTATATGCATGTTCTCCTCCTGTATATGCATGTTCTCCTGTATATGCATGTTCTCCTCCTGTATATGCATGTTCTCCTCCTGTATATGCATGTTCTCCTCCTGTATATACATGTTCTCCTCCTGTATATGCATGTTCTCCTCCTGTATATGCATGTTCTCCTGTATATGCATGTTCTCCTCCTGTATATGCATGTTCTCCTGTATATGCATGTTCTCCTCCTGTATATGCATGTTCTCCTCCTGCATATGCATGTTCTCCTCCTGTATATGCATGTTCTCCTGTATATGCATGTTCTCCTCCTGTATATGCATGTTCTCCTCCTGTATATGCATGTTCTCCTCCTGTATATGCATGTTCTCCTCCTGTATATGCATGTTCTCCTCCTGTATATGCATGTTCTCCTCCTGTATATGCATGTTCTCTCCTGTATATGCATGTTCTCCTCCTGTATATGCATGTTCTCCTGTATATGCATGTTCTCCTCCTGTATATGCATGTTCTCCTCCTGTATATGCATGTTCTCCTCCTGTATATGCATGTTCTCCTCCTGTATATGCATGTTCTCCTCCTGTATATGCATGTTCTCCCCTGTATATGCATGTTCTCCTCCTGTATATGCATGTTCTCCTCCTGTATATGCATGTTCTCCTCCTGTATATGCATGTTCTCCCCCTGTATATGCATGTTCTCCTCCTGTATATGCATGTTCTCCCCCTGTATATGCATGTTCTCCTCCTGTATATGCATGTTCTCCTCCTGTATATGCATGTTCTCCTGTATATGCATGTTCTCCTCCTGTATATGCATGTTCTCCTGTATATGCATGTTCTCCTCCTGTATATGCATGTTCTCCTCCTGTATATGCATGTTCTCCTCCTGTATATGCATGTTCTCCTCCTGTATATGCATGTTCTCCTCCTGTATATGCATGTTCTCCTCCTGTATATGCATGTTCTCCCCCTGTATATGCATGTCTCCTCCTGTATATGCATGTTCTCCTCATGTATATGCATGTTCTCCTCCTGTAAATGCATGTTCTCCTCCTGTATATGCATGTTCTCCCCCTGTATATGCATGTTCTCCTCCTGTATATGCATGTTCTCCTCCTGTATATGCATGTTCTCCCCCTGTATATGCATGTCTCCTCCTGTATATGCATGTTCTCCTCATGTATATGCATGTTCTCCTCCTGTATATGCATGTTCTCCTCCTGTATATGCATGTTCTCCTCCTGTATATGCATGTTCTCCTGTATATGCATGTTCTCCTCCTGTATATGCATGTTCTCCTCCTGTAAATGCATGTTCTCCTCCTGTATATGCATGTTCTCCCCCTGTATATGCATGTTCTCCTCCTGTATATACATGTTCTCCTCCTGTATATGCATGTTCTCCTCCTGTATATGCATGTTCTCCTCCTGTATATGCATGTTCTCCCCCTGTATATGCATGTTCTCCTCCTGTATATGCATGTTCTCCTCCTGTATATGCATGTTCTCCTCCTGTATATGCATGTTCTCCCCCTGTATATGCATGTTCTCCTCCTGTATATGCATGTTCTCCTCCTGTATATGCATGTTCTCCTCCTGTATATGCATGTTCTCCTCCTGTATATGCATGTTCTCCTCCTGTAAATGCATGTTCTCCTCCTGTATATACATGTTCTCCTCCTGTATCTGCCGGGGCCTGTGTCTCCACCAGCCCTGCTATAATACGCTCTGCAGCTCCCTCTGCAGCTCCACTCTGCAGCTCCCTCTGCAGCTCCCTCTGCAGCTCCCTCTGCAGCTCCCTCTGCAGCTCCCTCTGCAGCTCCCTCTGCAGCTCCACTCTGCAGCTCCCTCTTCTGCAGCTCCCTCTGCAGCTCCCTCTGCAGCTCCACTCTGCAGCTCCCTCTGCAGCACCCTCTGCAGCTCCCTCTGCAGCTCCCTCTGCAGCACCCTCTGCAGCTCCACTCTGTAGCTCCACTCTGCAGCTCCCTCTGCAGCACCCTCTGCAGCTACCTCTGCAGCTCCCTCTGCAGCTCCACTCTGCAGCTCCCTCTGCAGCTCCCTCTGCAGCACCCTCTGCAGCTCCACTCTGCAGCTCCACTCTGCAGCTCCCTCTGCAGCACCCTCTGCAGCTCCCTCTGC